GGGGGGGGGGGGGGGGGAACGGCGAACCGGGATCATCGTCTTAAATCTACCCAAGGCATCTTGGGAAGGCTCATGGGCCAATTTGCTTCATGTTCTTGGTGCCCGAACGAGAACTAATAGGGCCAGCAATTCAGGTGCAACCCCTGCAAAAAATGTCCAGAGTTTCTCTAGACCCAGGAGTAACCTAGGAAAACAAAGGGCACCCTTCTTGGTTTACGAATCAAAGCTCCAGGTCCTAGAGCAAGCACCCCGAGTTTTTGACCCTAAACCCTTCAACGCTTGACGTGAGCCGCCTGAAGTTGTGGCTGCCCCTCCTGGCTATGTTGTAGAGCGGCTTGAGCCCTCTCCTGGACCGGAGGCTTCAGGGTTTTGGGGGGTTTAGGGTTTAGGGTTTAGGGTTTAGGGTTTAGTGGCTCTGTGTATGTACGTGGAGCAGTTCGGTGGCGCGGACTGTGAAGACCATTTTTCTCCCGGCTGCGTTGGAAGGACAGGACTACCTGAAGACCCAAAGCCTATTTTTTTGTATGCTACGAGTACCTAAGAATCCTACAAGGGGTTCAAAAGTAATAGTCTACAAAAAAGTCTGTTATGGCTTCTTCAGGTAAGTCTAAGCTGCGCGGTCATCTGACCTTGTGAGCACTAAACCATAAACCCTTATAAACCCTAACCCTAAACCCTAAACCCCAAACCCTAAACCCTAGAAGAAGGGGGGGTTGCAGTCCAACAACGCGTCCTGGGGCTTCGCAGTGTGGCGAAGCTTCAAAGAGAGGAGGTTGCTAGCCCCCGTAGACCAAAAAAGACCGACTCGTAGGCAGTAATATAGGGACCGTAATGATTAGAATAGGGTCTTGGGTTTTTCTAAATAGTATAAGGGTCTTGGGGGTTCTTATAGTCTACGTATAAAAGGGGCCATACAGGGAATACTATTCCTAGTTCTTCCGACCCGGATATCAGCCAAGCCACACCATCAGCGAGCAAAGGATCAAGGCCACGAAGGGCCAAAACACCCGCTCCTAAGCTGGAATTCAGGAGTAACCTACCAGGACGGGCTACTAGACCCTATAACCCCTCAAAAAGGCCCTTTGTAGGGTTGATTAGCCTATAATAGCCCATCCTGGTAGGAATAAACAGGGCGCACCTTTCGGGTTTTAAGGGCATGATAAGGGAACCCCAGCCCTAAAAAATGAACAAGGGCCTACTCCGGGTCCGAGGCATGGGGCTCAGGTTTGGGAGTGAGGGCTTCGGGTTTAGGATCTAGGGTTTAGGGTTAAGGGGGCTACTCTAGGGCCTTAATAATTCGAATGGGGCTTTGGGGGATACTATGGTATATTCTGCAAGGGACGGTGAGGGAAACGTATTCGTAATCATTCCGACACCTCCCTTACTATGCCCTCGGACAGTACCAGCTACAGCAGCTGTTGAATGTCATGACAGTAACCCAGCACCCCAGAATTTGTTCCCCCGTTCGAGGCGATGACGATAAGGGACACATCCAAAGCTATGGCTAGGGCGGTTTGCTCGTAAACCCTATGAAGCCGTAGTGTCCAGCACGTAAGACTCCTAAAGATTCGAAAATAAAACTACACAAACAGAAGGCTTTGCGTGTCTTAATTAAGGGAGGTTTCGGTTGTGTAGACACATGGCTGTGGGTCTAAATGGGGGTATGTCGCGGTGTCCCGCCCCCCCGCCTGTGTTACATGCGTATGTCGCGCCCACTTGTTTCATACGTATGTCGCGGGGTTTGTCGCGGCTGTTTCGCCTTGAAGAGGGTAATATGAAATCCGTACTTCAACAGCAACATAGCCGAACTATAGCCGACTTCTCAACCCTTTAAACCCTCAACCCTAAGCCCGAAATATCGGCCTGCCTGACCTGCACCACAGGTGCCCTCAATTGGCGCGGCTTCTCGCGACACATGAGGCGATCGGAAAACAGGTAAGTATTGGCCAGGGCCACTTGATGACTTGTCGCGGGTATGTCGCGGTATGTCGCAGGGCATGTCGCGGAGCAGGTACCCATAACCGTTGCATTCAGGGCTTCACCTGCACAGTTCCAAAGAAGAGCTCACAAAAGCTTGCCTGCGTAGCGACATGGCATACTCATATAAGAAGGGGCTTGTCGCACAGGCTTGTCGCGGAGGCTTGTCGCGCAGGTTTGTCGCGGACGCTGCTTGTCGCAAGAAGAACGGCTTTGGGTATTGTCACACATATCTATTCAGCTTGTCCATTCTGATGCCAGCACTGGGGAGTTTCGGCAGAAAGTTCAGACTAAGGGGTAGGTACCAGAGAGCCAAGATTTCTGTCTTTATGCTGTCTAGAACCTGGAGAATCCATGGTAGCTTGTGCTACCTCTTTGGGTGGGGTAGTTCCTTGCCATATTAGGCCCAAAAGGGTGTGAGGTCCATATACCTAGGGACTGTAGTAGTGTAGGGTGGCCGGGACCAAGCCCCAGCTGGGAACCCACGTGTCATCAGGGTTTCGGGTTCAGGTTTTGGGTTTTGGGTTTAGGGTTTAGGATTTACGGGTTTACGGGTTCTGCGCACGGCATGAAAATCCAGGCCGACAAGTCCCCGACGGCGAAGAACGCATCCCATTGTGGGGCGTGGTCTCCGAGAGTTGCTACCTGGGTTTAGGCGTTAGGGGTTTAGGGGATTAGGGGTTTAGGGTTTATAGGTTCAGGGGTTTAGGGTTTAGGGTCTAGAGTGGCATTTCAATTGTGGCCACGCGAGCATTCTGCCTTCAATCTCTTCATGTAGTGTTCATACAGGGGGGAGTATATGGCCTAGCTGGAGGCTCAGGCAAGGGTTCCGTAAGGTGGAGAATTAGAACTTTGTGGGTCATCATGGTAGTTCAACAACGAATTATTATGTAAATGACCGTATATATGCGAAATCAGCAAACTGTTATGGTTGTTGGTTTGCTATGGTGACTATGATTCGTCGGATTGCTCTGGCTAGTGTGCCTTGCCTCCCCCTCCGCCCAGTGAAAAAGCCCCGCCAGTGCCCAAACCCTATAAGAACCCATAAGCCCTGTCAATCCTACACCCCAAAACCCACAACAATAATCATGTGTTCCCCTACAGCCCCCCTCCATACTACCCCCCTAAGACTCCCCCCTAAGTAAGGCTATTTGGAGATAATATTTACAGCCTTAACCCTAAAACCTAGACCCTAAACCCTAAACCCCAAGGTTAGCTGAGGGGGGACCCTGGGCAGTGTAGAGGGGGGCTGGAACCCATGAAAAACAGGTGAAAACGCGTAAGATCCACAACCCTGTGAAAAAGCTTCCTAGCTAGGATCCTCTAAAGCCCCGTATGAAGGAACATGTAAACTCCCAAGGGCATGCCCAGGGATCCTAATCCCTTCCCACCAATATGAGCCCCCTCCCTACCTCCCAAATAGTAAACCCCTGCAAGAGACCTATATTGGGAGTTATTAAATCTTAGGGGTAGGGAGGCGGGGATAGGGGAGCTTACGAACGTGAGGGACCCCATATTAGACCCCTAAATAGTAGTATTCCCTTGTGATAAGGACCCCAGTTAGGTACCCCAAATAAATTCTAGGCCGAGGGGAGTAAGAATCCTAAAGCATCCACTATACACCCTCAGGTCTGGCGCCTGGCCATCCGAAGAGAAGGAGCTGTCGCAGACCTTGGCCCACAACCCGTAGGATTTAGGGTTTAGGGTTTTGGATTTAGGGTTTAGGGTCAACAGGGCCACCGGACCTTCGGTTGCAGACTGACATGGTTCCCTACAGCCGCAAAGAAAGAGAATACAGGTACAACCCTATAGGGGTCCATGTACCTCATTATTATATACTTGCGCCCCAAAGTTCCCCTGTATAGGAGGAACTTTAAGGCCCAAGTATTCCCTATTTAGGTATATGGACCCTTAGTGCTACAGTACTATTGGGCATCCCAGTCTTAAATGGCCATGCATGCGGGCTGTGAGGCGAGTGCGCAAGCGGCGCAAGCCGACGCATTACTTCCGTTCCCGCCATCCATGGCATGTGCCAAGACAGAAGACCGATTCTACGTGCGTGCCCTCTGGCTTTGGAGTTGGGTCGATTTTCAACCACAACACGCACCTTCTACTCACTTAAAGCCAAGCACGGGAGTTCAAGGCTCGAGTTGCAACTATGGAGAAGCCTCTGGAAGATGATGTCAGAGAGGATCCCTAGTTGTCCAGTACCCAGGCTAACCTTTGGGATTATCAAGGGAATATAGGACCCAAAAAAGGTGAATTAAAGTTTACCTACTATACTCTACTACTAATTCGGATCGCTTGCGCACTGGTTGTCTTGAGGGTTCACGGCTTAGGGTTAAGTACTGCCAAGAAATGGTCCATATAAATGTATGAACTCACATCTACGTCGGCTGTTCGGAAAGCTAGTGTAGTGGGTCCCCAAACCATGAAAGGTGAGGTTCGTATATCATCTGTTCTTCCTGCCCGAATCACCTTCGAGCACGTGGAAGCCATCATAAGTGCTTCACGGCCAACGCCCGTCTTGTTAAGAGCCGCTTGGCCTCATTTCCTCGTGCCGGTAGTATGTAGAATCACAATATAGCTTCTTGCCCCAAACCCCAGCACATACTTCGACTAGATGTCCTAGTAGATGAGACCCGCGACTTCGGCAATCCGCCTTCGCCTATGCGTCCCATGCCTCTCTTCACGCAGAGCAGGATACAGAAAGCCGAAGCAGGGCGCGAGGGACGGGTCCGGGAGGGGTGGTGCAGGGCGCCTGCGTATCCAGAGATGTCCACTAACATCAGGTACTTGAGACAAGGAACTACAATCCATTGGAATCCTTGTGCAGAAGGTGATGGGCTTCGATGTCATGTCAGGGACGACCATTAGCCTTGCCTTGCCCCCCTCATTTGATTGGAGACTTACCCTCTGCGCTCAGGCCCTTGCCCTGGTAAACTACGCACTTTCCGTTTTGACTTCTTGCCACGCAGTCTGCTCAGAGCACTTGGGTGAGAGGGCCCAGGCACATCTAGGATTCACTTGTTCACTGCATCACCCAAGCTCTTCGCGCCACTCTTGTCGAAGGCTGTCTTGCCAATGTAGAAGAGAAGAGCAGCCGTGAAAAGGAGCAGGTAAGTTAGGTCGGAGGTTGGCGGCTCCTCGTTGTATTGGGGGTTTTTGAACTCTCCTTCCATCCTCTGAGCGAAGGCGGGCTGCTCGAGCACCCTGGGCACAGCTAGCATGGCACGCACGAACCGGTCAAAAAGCATCGCCTCTCTCTCTCTCTCTTTCTGTCACGCTCTCTCAGGTGTCACAGACTCACTCTCCCACTCTCCTTTTTCTCGCTGCACATGGACCCTACAACCGCCTTACAACTGCTTGGGCCACGGCATCATGGAAATCACGGGTGCCAGAGCAGTTGGAATGTGCACCTCCCTGCGAGGAGCCTCGGTCACAAACGCCACGCTGTTGCAGAGGGCCATCGCAACCGCAGCCGTCAGCACCAGCGACATCTTCGATCGCGCCATAGCTGCACAATGCTTCTCGCGGAGTAAACCCGAAAACATGCACCTGCCCGGTTCATCACATAGGCTGCTGTTGGATTTTTAGACTTGGGGCATGGACACTCGTGTTTTGCAGCCTTGATGCCAGGAAGGCGAGGTGCGAGAGCCGAAAACGCCATGCTCAGCCGTGAACCCCCCCAAACCATGCAGCCCCGCAACAGAAACAGCAGTTCGATTCAAGAGCCCAACCGAGGCGCCTGATTCCCAATACCTGATAGCCCGATATTCCTACCATACAGAAGCCTGTTTTAACTCTTTGTCTTTGTCTCCATTCGGAGCAGCGCGTCCACGTGGGAGTCCAGGTCCTCGGTTAGGGGGTTTAGGGTTCAGGCTGGCTTCGGCTGCAGTCGAGGCGAAGGGAAGACAAGTCAACATGAGAAATTGAGATCAAGAGAGAGAGAGAGCACGAAACAAGTACAAAGAGAAAGGAGAGATAAAGAGGAAGAGGCAACGAGAGCAAGAAAGGGAGAGAGAGAGAGATAGAGGGAGGGAGATTGATTTTGTGATGTGCAGCAACAAGTCTCTCGGCGCGCCTGTCGACTGCACTTCCCAAACTCATGCCTACGGGCGACCATACTACGTCCTGTAACATACTTGGAGGTTCATGGGTACCTATAACCCCAATTCTAAGTCTACCTTCTAACCTACTTGGGGGACTCGGGGGGCTTATAAGTACAGCTTTGATTAGGGTCAAAAGTACCCATGAACGTTGGTTTGCCCTCATTCACACAGCCAAAACATCGAGCCCAGGTGTGTCCAAGCCACCCCATCTAGGACGCGGTCTGCGTCGCCACGCTCGTGGCCAGATCGGACGTCCTCCAACCCTCAAACCAGAAACCCTAAACCCCAAACTTTCAACTTAAACCCAAAACCCTAAGCCTTAAACCCAAAACCCTAAACCCTAAACCAGAAACCCTAAACCCTAAACGCTAAATTCGATTTGACAGCTACTTGCTGAGACTGGGGCCCGGGGGTAACTGCTTCATCATCAAAGTCACGCAAAGGTAGCTGAGATGACGAGGCTCCTCGTCTTAAGGTGTGGGCGCAAGAGCCTATCAGATAAGCTTTTGAGACTCGGGCCTCCCCATTCTGAAGCCCACGACTTGGGGCCCTAATTCAAATATGTGGGTATTCTGGGCAGGCTATGCTGAAAGAGCAAGAAAATAGATTAACATCAAGGGCAAGATATTGGCAAATGTATGAACTTCTCTCCTGTCCTTGACCATGGTGTATGGTTGCAGCACGTAGTTCCGCACCTGCCGGCAGTGCAGTTTGCACATCCGAGCAAGGCCTGTGGGCATCTCACTGTACCTGGTAGAAACTACTCCAAGAATTGGGAAGCCCAAAAAGGAACTGCAGTTGGGGATCGAGACCCTAAGCAAGCTGCACCCTGAAGCCGCGAGAATCCAAAATACCCATCCTCAATGACGCTGGCAGCCATTTCGGAGCCACGCCTCGCACCCTCAAGCCTCTAGCCTTCGGGGAGCCTGAAGCATTGCCTGGTAGGCCCTTGCATGCCCCAAAGGCTGAAGGTTGTGATTTTGGGGTTTCGGGTTCTGAGTGTAGCGCGGCTTAGGGACCCATTTTCAAGAACCCCTTAGGGAAGGTAGAGGCCATATAGGAGTAGATTCCGGGATGAGGGGTGCGTGGGGACGAGAAAGAGCTCCTTCCCTTCAAGGGATGTTGGTCCGCCTACAACTCTCGCAATATAGGGGGCTTCTGGGACGTCTAGAAACAAGACGTCTGCTCCTAAGTCTTAAGGTATCCTAAGCCCTGCTCCTCAGAACATGTGGCTGTCTATATGAGCTCTGGGAGCCCCCATTCCCTCTCGGCCCGGCCTGCGCCCCCCACCTGCAACAACGGTGTTGAGGGTTATATGGGGCGGGCCGAAAAATAAACCCTGTATACCTTAAGCCATAAACCTTAGTTCCAAATAGGAACGTCTACTTTCTACACCCCTGAGTCCCTAAACCCTACAACTTCGTTCCTTTTGCGCCTCTATACTCCAAGTCCCTAAGCCCCAAACCTTCGTTCAAAACAAGAACCCTAAACCCTTATAAACCCTAAACCCCAAACCCTAAACCCTAAACCCCAAGGTTTAGGGGTCGGAGGGTTCAAAGGGCCTGGGGTTTGGCGGTGTGTCAGGTTGAGAGAATTTATTCCCCCGTTACAAGTATGCTTCTAGACCCGGGAGTAGCCTAGGAATGAAAGGGTACCCTTCTTGGTTCTAAGGGGATTATAAGGGACCCCCAACCAGGGTGGCCCTCAAACCCCTCTGTACTCAATGTAGAGTTATAAAGGGACCATAAGGGAGTATCATCAGTAACCATTCCGACCCCTACAGTACCTAACACTTAAACCCTAAACCCTAAACTGTAAACCCTAAACCCTCTAAACCCTAAACCCTAAACCCTAAACCCTAAACCCTGCTGCTCTGCAGCTCAGGGGCTGGGCCGAGACAAGGTCGCCACGGATCTCGCGCAGCTCTTGCACCCGCTGCTGCTCCTGCCGGCTTTACGGTTCTGAGGGTTTAGGTTTAGGCTTAGGTTTAGGGTTTAGGGTTTAGGGTTTAGGCTTAGGGTTTAGGGTTTAGGGTGTAGGGTTTAGGGTTAGGGTTTGGGCTTTGTAGGGCTTAGGGTTGTACAGGCTGCGGCGATGCAACGCAATGGCCCCCAAGCAGCCGCTAAGTCCCTACGGCGTTTTATAGGTGGACCTGTTAGGGTTTAGGGTTCAGGGTTGAGGGTTTAGGGTTGAGGGTTTAGGGAACCTGTTAGGGTTTGCCCACTTCCGCGACCTCCGGCTTTCCTCTCAAAGCCTTCTATGGGGCACCGATCATTCCCAACTGCTTTACAAAGAGGCCAGAAGTCGAGTTCGAACAATCCGAAGGGATGCCGTGCTTTGAGGGGGATCCGTGCCTGGGAGGCGTGGTCACAGGCACAGGCCCCCGAGACCCTGAACCCTATGCGGATTGGTGGACATGCTGATGTGGAGGGACTTTCAGAAAATTTAATGGTACCCTGTTAGGGGGTCACCCGAAGGGGGGCACGAGTTTTCCTGGCGGGCGGAGTTCGCACGGCGACGGGTGCTGCGAAAGCCTTCTTGGCCTTCTTGAGTTTCTTCGGGACCACGGGATCCGGGGGCTTCTTGCTGTCTCCAGAACAGTGAGTATGGCAGGACGAAGTCAATCCAGCAGTAAGTCCCCTTTGAGGAAGCTCTGGGCAGTCTCTCCAGACCGAGAGAACCGGTGGACCGGTGGACCCGATCTGGGATACTGGGGGAATTCAGACGAGCGCACAATTCCTCTGCAACATGACCGCCGCTCTTCTCGAACGGGCCATCGTCCCTTGTACTCATCTGTGTGACACAGAAAGATGCTCTCTGGGAAACTGTGCTGTGTGCTGGTAAAGAGGAGGCGAGTCTACGACTCCAGGTCGGGAGTTGAATTCTCCTGATCGTGGCGTAGGACAACTCCAGTCCCCCGAACCCGATGGCAACATGGAAGAACCCGCCAAGTTTCACAGGGGCCTGCATGCGCGAAGCGTGCGTTGAAGGTCGCACATGTTCGAGTAGACCGGACGCAGGATTCGAATTCAGCGCCCGCGGCTGAAGGCTACGGCTGGGCTCAAGACGGCCCAGGTGAATGTGCATCATGCGGGACTTGGCGATGACTCATACACCATGGCAAGCTGCTCCTGCGTTATTTGAGACACGTGCATGCCTGAGATTACTTCAAAAATGGCAGCCCAAATTGCACCCCAGTCTGAGCTGGGCTGACCTGGGCATTTTTTGGGGGGGGTTTAGGTTTCAGACGTAACAATATCCCCAGGCCTAGCAAAAGCCGAGGAAGCTTGGCACAGATCAGCTTAAGGGTGACATCTCGCCCTCGTCTCCTGCTCTTGTTGGCAGGGGGCGGGCAGATGAGCCCTGAACGCCCTAACCTTTGGAATGATATGAAGTAGGGTTTATATTTCTTGTATCCCCAAAAGGCCACCAAGTATGTACACTCACCAATAACAGGAATATATGCCCTGCTTCATATCTCCCCACAAGAAGCCCCCAATGCCCTGACCTTGATCAGCATGAGCTTTGCTTTCAGCTGCAACAGCGCCTGCTCTAAACGGGCCACCGGGGGCTTAAGGTAGGGTTTCGGCGTTCAGTGCAGCTAGGCAAGCTTGGGGTGCGGAAAACGTCCCTGTGCGAGGGGTGTCTAGTCTTTCGGGAGTTCTGAAGTCCAGCAGGTTATGTTCTTACTGGGTCAGAATGCTCTTCCTGACGCTCCCTAGCAATCTAAGTCGGACTATGGAGGAAGCCTTTGTGCATCCTAGCTTAGTCCCCCCATACCCATGCCGTCGGTTTAGGGTTTAGGGTTTAGGGTTTAGGGTTTAGGGTTTAGGGTTTAGGGTTTAGGGTACCCTTATCACTGCGAAGCCACATAAACCGCCTTGTTTCGATTGCTCAGCTGGCTGCGCTCTTCCGTACACCGGACGGCGATGCCGGTCCTTGGTGTGCGAAGAGTATGCCGGGTTTGCCGGGTTGAGGGTTTAGGGTTTAGGGTTTAGGTAGGTTTCAGGTGCATTGTGGGTTCTATGGGACTTGCAGGGTTCACAAGTAGTTGTAGGGCTTATGGGTGTTGTTGGGTTTGTAGGGCTTGTGGGGTTCCTTGTTTTTTTCTCGAAGTCGTCGGTTTTATACGGCGTATAGGGCAAAAATCCAGAATGCCGCAAAACCCTTCAATACCATCGGTAGGTTTTCCAACTTTCAGGTCCAAGGGGGGACCTTTGCAAGTTTGCAAGAGGTCAGAGGGCGCCTGCCGTCAGTGGCTCAAACCTTCGGTTGCCCAAAAGGGTTTAGGGTTTAGGGTTTAGGGTTTGGGTTTAGGGTTTAGGGGAAACCGTGCGGGGAATTGCAGGCTCGAGGCGGGGTTTGAGGTTCTCGATTTACAAGGCGGCTCCTTGTAGTATATGGATACCCCTAGAAGGGATGATCATCTAGGCGATCGAAGGCATGCAAAGAATTGAGGTCGGGTTCATGGCCGCAGCATGGCTTGCATCAACAATCTCAGATGCTCAAGGTTTAGGATTTATCTGGCTTGGGGTTTCAGGAGTTTAGGGCACTTACACGGCTTAGGAGTTTGGGGTTTATTCGCGAGAAGCTCTCGCCAAGGGATCTCGCAACAGCACGCGGCCTGCAGTGACTCTGCAGAGCATGTCTGTGCTCAGTTCGCGTCAGTACCAGGGTGAACCCTCTCGGATCACCTCTCCAGATGCATGCTCTTGTGGCCCCTCTTCAATTCAACCAGCTGGAGCTTAAGGAATTTGTTCAACAACCCATCACTGACCCTGCCATGGGGGCCAAGGGATGGGGGCGGCTCACCTCTGAACCAGGCATGTCACATCCGCAAGCTGCTAGAAAAAAACCCTAAACCCTGAACCCTGAACCCTAGACCCTAAACCCGAAGCCTTATAAACCCTAAACCCTAAACCCTAAGCCCAGCTCAGCCCATGGCGGCGCGTGCGTCACCCGAACGCCTCGCGAAGGGCGGAGCTGCTGGAGGAGCTCGGGAGCCACCGGTTTAGGGTTTAGGGTTTCGGGTTTAGGGTTTAATTAGGGTTTAGGGTTTAGGGGACGCTTCGGGATGTGTAAACCCTCTTGCTTCTCCCCGATAGTGGGGAGGCTAGGGTTTAGGGTGGGTTTGGGATTGGAGGCGTCAGTTTGCAGAAGTGTAGGGTTTAGGGTTTAGGGTTTAGGTTCCCTGCCTGTCTCCAGCTTGTTGACATTCTGGCCACCCTTGCCGCCTGATCTGAAAGTGTCCCACCTGGCCGGGCAATCTGTAGAGTTGTGTAAAGGCTTCAAGGTGTGGGCGTCAATCGTCAGACCTTGTGGGCCCGAGACCCAACCCTAAACCGCCCAGTGCAACCTAAACCCTGTTCGTGGGCTGCTGGATTGCGTCGGCGCTTGTCTCAACCATGGCAGGTGCGCGTAAGGTCCTTTGCGTCAATGTCCACCGCGCTAGCCGCGTCGTCGGGGAGAACAGGAACCACCTTCCAGCAGGGGCAGATGCCTAGACCGTCGAGTTGAAGCTTCTTTTGGGGGGACCTAATGCTGTTGGCCCGTGAAAGGAGAAGGAAACAAGGAACTCCCGTCCAAACAACCAAAAAGAGCAAGAGAGAGAGAGAGAGAGAGAGAGAGAGAGATGCAGAGAAGGGGTGGGGGCGCACTACAATCCTAAAACCCCGCCTTCTGGTACGCGGATCGTGTGCGGGGCTTCGGAGTTCATGATGTTTACAGGGCCGAGGGAGTTTTCAAAACCGCCTGCTGGAAAACCGGTGTTCAGGAGCAGCTCGGGGAGTCGAGGGGAGGGTTGGAGCTTTGAGCCTATGCGGTTTAGAGTTTAGGGTTTGGGCTTTTGGTCGCCAGTTACCGGCCTGTTCTTTTGTCCGTGGGTAGCTGGCTGTCTGGCTGGCTGGCTGGGTGGCTGGGGGTGGATGGGGTGGGTGGCTGGATGGGTGGGTGGGTGGGTGTAGAACTTGCTGCTCCATTGCAGTGTTTGGGCAACCCTGCACCATACAATCCCCGAAGCCTCGGCTTACAGGTACACCTCATGCCTTAAGAACCCCAAAACCTATAGTGTCTTCGTCGGATACCTCAGATCCCTGAAAGGGGCTTTAAGGGAATAACCTTAGCCTTCGGGGTTCCGGAGGTGCCCATCTCCGGCCTCGACACCGGCAAAGGTGGTCTGCCGCTTCCCGTTCCAGATGCGGACCAACCTCTTCGTCTGAAACAAACTACGCTGCTTAGGGTTGATCTAAGAATAATTCAACATACCCCTTAACCTATAAAAGGATATGAGGAACGATGTTTAACAATACCCCTTAACTTCTTTTAAAAGGTATGCCCAAGGTGAATGTTGATTATTTCTTAGAGTTCCGGGTTTAGTTCTTCAGCCGATTCTAGGGATTGGCGACGGGGTTTACGAGGATTTTGGCGCCTGAAGCCTCAACTCTCTAAACCCCCCCTGTGGTTTCAGAGTTTGGGGTTTGGGGGGCTTTAAAGGCTGCAGAACGCATCAGGGCTTTCCTGGGGGGGGGGGGGGAAGGGGGGAGAGGGGGTCGGGTTCAGGATTGCAGGGCCAATAGGGCTTTGCTAGGTAGGCGCCGAATCCGAAAGCACCCTGGGACCCTTATTGCATGTAGTGAAGTGCGGTGTTTATTGCTACTATGGGGGACAAAAACACTCACCAATATTTACAAGGAGCCCAATATAGACTTACTAACTACAGAAACAAGAAGCTCTACCTCGACATCTGCTAGCAACAGACACAGACTTGAACACCTCGGGAACGGCATGCTTCTCTGGGCAAGCTACGTGCAAAGCTACGTGTCAGCAGTCAAGCTCCCGCCTGCTTAGAATTAACCCACAAAACAGGCGGGTTGAGCCTCCCAAACTCGGAACTCCCAGCCCCTCTACGTCTTCTCGGTGTCTCATGCATGAGGATTGCACCGGTGCGTGCCCGTCTCACGCTGCAGCATCCCGAAGGCATACTCACCTGGCATATGGGGAGAGGACGAGTAGTGGAAACAGACAGCCCGAAGGTTGAACATCTTCATCCCTCAAACCCACTGAGGAAGTCAACCCAAAACCTAAACCCTGAACTCTAAACCCAAACCTAAACCCTGAAACCCTAAGGCCTAAGCCTAAAACCCAATCCCCAAACGCCGGACGCCAACCCTATACAACTTCGACGTCGATGAGCCCAGATACAGTTCGACTCCCTGGAGCCTTGAAGTTGAAGAAGCTTTGGGGGGTGCAGAGTACAGTTTTTTGGTTAGGGTTCAGGGTTCAGGGTTCAGGGTTTAGGGTTTATGGTTCAGGGTTTAGGGTTCAGGGTTTAGGGTTTAGGGTTCAGGGTTTACAGTTTAGAGTTTAGGGCTTAGCCCCCCCCCCCCCCCGCTTCCCCCTCGCGGGGTTAGGGTTCAGCTGAGTTTAGGGTTTAGGCCCACATCCCCCCCCCCCCCCCCCTCTTCTCGCCCCGGGCCTGTAACTTCGAACTCGACACCTGCAGAGGTTAGAGCCCGGAATCTCAAAGTTTTGGGGGGGCTCAGGGTCGAGGGCACAGTCGGGTACAAATTATGGCTGTTTAGGGTTTAGGGTGTTTAGGGCTTGGGATTCAGGGTTTGGGGGGTTTGGTGATCGAGGTGTATAGGGCGAAAACGTGAGGGTCGCAATCCCCAGCAGTGGCCAGCCACAAGCCCCCTTTGGAGTAAAATGACTTTGCGCCCTACCTGAAGCTTCATGGGATTAGCCCTCGAGCCAAGCTTGTGGAAACGCGAACCCAAGTCGCCAATCGACCACAAAGCTGTGAGCCGAACAAGGACGAGAAACCGTGAAACTTTCTCGAAACTCAGGGGCTAAAGGAGGGCCTTCTTACAAGACCTTATGAAGCCTAAACTTTCAAAAAAACAGACACCATTCCAAGCACCTTGAGATAACCTCAAAGGTTAGTCACCAAAGGGGCGGGCATCCAGGAAAACCCTACAGCCAGCCTAGCAACACCGAACCCCAGCCCTAAACCCTGAACCCTGAACCCTAAACCCTGAAACCTGAACCCTGAACCCTAAACCCTAAACCGTAAACCCTAAGCCTGAACCCTAAACCCTAAACCCTAAACCCCGCGCCGCCCAGGGGGGGGAGGGTTTAGGGTTTAGGGTTTAGGGCCTAAACCCTAAACCCTAAACCCTCCCCCCCCTGGGCGGCGCGCTCTTCAAGCCGATCGCGTCGCCGTCGGTGCTGTCGAGCCGCCGAGAACTCCAGCCCTTTTGCTGGGCATAGTTGCTGTACATGCGCCTCAGTTTCAATTGCACCCTAGGGTTTAGGGTTTATAGGGTTTAGGGTTTAGGGTTTAGGGTTTAGGGTTAGGGTTTAGGGTTTAGGGTTTAGGGTTTAGGGTTTAGGGTTTAGGGTTCAGGGTTTAGGGTTTAGGGTTTAGGGTTTAGGGTTTAGGGTTTAGGGTTTAGGTTTTAATTTGGCCCTTAGAACCTCTAAAAGTACTTTGAATAGACCCCTGTTTACATTAAAGACACTTGCTACTATATGAAGGGGGCGTAGAGTTTTGGGGCTGGGTGTTTTTGGGGGGGGCCTGGGCTGCTGCGAAGGCGCACCCTGCTTTGGGTGTACCAGGAATTAGGATGGTTTGGGTTAGAGGTCTTAGGGCTTAGGGTTTAGGGTTTGGGGTTTAGGGCTTAGGGTTTAGGGCTTAGGGTTTAGGGTTTGGGGTTTAGGGCTTAGGGCTTTCGGACTTCTGGGAATCAGAGGGGCTCAGGGCTTAGGGTTTGAAAAGCTTGCACGCGCCTTCAAACCTGAGCCAGATGCTCCCAAGAGCCCAAGAAGGCGCAAATACCCTGCTCCCCTTGAACCTTATGACTTATGACCCTCGCCCGAACCCTCATGCGCTCAAACTCAGGGGTATGAGCTCCTGGCTCCAGCATGCAGACCCAATCGCAGGCTTCATCGCCGCCGGCTCCCGCAAAGATGCTGACCCTGCGACGGCAGACGATCTCTGAGGCAGCAACAAGCAATCATCTTAGAGTATGGGGGCACCCTTAAGCCCCCAAAATGCTCCTGAAACCTGCCAGGGCTTCCGAGGTCACAAGCGGAGAGGGGCCCAAGGATTCATATGCTGAAAGAACATCCATAGTTCCATAGTCACTACAATAGAATGAAGAGAATGGATTGGATGATGAATGTCGGGGGGGGGGGGGGGGGGGGGGGGGGGCGGGGTCCTCAACAGGGAGGGGGCTCGTTCCCCGCCCCCAAGTCCCTACAAGCCAACACCCCTCACAGACCTATAAACCAAACGGTGCATGGTAAACTAGGTAATCCCCCAAGTGATACCTTCAAAATGCCAAGGCTGCCTTAGACCCTTTAAAACCGCTTACCCACCCTACCTAGGCCACTTGGGGTCCAGGCTGGCAATTGAACGCGTCATAAGGGCCTCCCATGAGCATCTGCACCTGCCGTGCGGGCTTAGGACTTGTTCTACGATGGGGGCACATGCGGTAGTTGATCAAAACGCAGGTGCACTTAAGATGGCCATTACTAACCAGCCCACGATGATACGTTTCCCGGGAACAAGCTGTTTCGCCCCGCATGCGCTTAAGCCAACTATAAAATATCCAAGAAGCCAGGCTTCACTGACCCAGGAATTTGAAAAATGGTACCCGCTTTGGCTTCACAGGTTTTCTTTTTTCTGTGTGACTTCGTTATGTCAAAGTGGTGTTTGGTCACTTGAATTTCGTGTTGAACCCTAAACCGTAACCCTACACCCTAGAACCTTGTTGAGAATGCTTGTCAGGCGACTCCAACTGTGGCCTAAACCCTTCAACCGCAGAAGTCCCCCCAACCTTTAACAGTTCAGTTTGGTTGATATTACAGTACTGCTATATTTGGTTGTATTTAGGAGGGTAGTTATAAATTAAGTTTTTAGCTGCCTTATTCAACCTCCCAAGGATCCAAAGTTACAGTAAAGCACCATACAGCTCTGCGGCTTGGGGTCTTTAGTTGTTAGGATGGCTCTTAAAACTCTTTGAAAGCATTCCTCTTTTCCACAATCAAAGGAAAGCATGACATTTCCCTAAGGGCCTACCTAGCCGTACTTGGGGATTGAGAACACACACACACACACCCACACGCACACGCGCACACGCGCACACGCGCACACGCGCACACGCGCACGCACGCACGCACGCACACACGCAAGCACACATGCACACACGCAAGCACACACGCAAGCACACACGCAAGCACACCCGCACACACGCAAGCACACACGCAAGAACACACGCAAGCACACACGCAAGCACACACGCAAGCACACACGCAAGCACACTTCGCGGGGGGGGGGGGGGGGGGAATTGGGAATCAAAGCCCTAAGCTCATCCAAACAAAGGGGAATGAGTGTACGGCCTCTGTGTTTCCTTGGGGCAGAAGACTAGGGGGCTTAATGTGCATTAGGGATCTTGGGTTTGCAGTCTAGGGTAGAGTTGGATCCAACTCCGTTGAACAACTTGATCCTGCCCAAGCAGACTACTTGGCGGTTATAAGTGCGGTTATAAGTAGGGCAACTAATACTCTGACTGGCTATCACCTTACTTGGGGTACTTATAAACCTACTTCTACCTACCCATGAACCTTCTAGTACAAATTCAAGGAGCCAGCAAGGTGTCTTGGGATGCGACTGCCGCTCACAGCTGCAGGGATGGCGGGTCTAAAAAGGGGCTCGATGAGAGGGTTTAGAGTTTAGGGTTTAGGGTTCCGTTTAGGCGATACGAGACTCTAAGCTAGCTGAGCATTTTTGCAGCAACGTTACCATCATAGTGCTGCAACTGCCCATGGTAGGCCAGTAACCATGCTATAATAACGGCACTCTTTTGGGGGGTGGTTACTTCACAAGGGAACCATGAACCAACAAAAGGGCAAAGGGTACCACTGGGCTACCTAAACCCTAAACCCTAAACCCTAAACCCTAAACCCGCTACCAAGC